TTATTAAGTTTACTATGTGTGTAAAGTATTTTCCAAAATGTAGCCCAAGAGAGATTACCTAGTACAGAGTTAACTGTCTAGTTAAAAATATAGAAACCCCAGAAATAACTTTTCTTTCACACACAGGTTGGTGTCTATGTATAGATTTACTTCGAGCACAAGAAATTACAGAACACTCCTGTTTCTGAATATTTTAGACATGGATTTAAAGCATAAACAGAATACTATATTTTTTAGTTAAAAATGGAAGGGTGAATTATTCAGAGCTAAGAATAATTGGTATCTGATGACAGAATAGAAATCTCCTCACTCTCCTAAACTTCCATTTGTCTAGTTGCAATACAGACAATGCATAAACATTTTAAGATGATGAAATAGCCAGTGAGCAACCAGCCTGAAGAAAAACTTCACTCTTCCATGATAATAACCCCATGAAAGGGGGCAGAATTCAGACACAGTCAATGTTCACTGTTTTTCAGAACATTATGATGTGGTTTCTGGAGGCCTTATAGTCCTATGTGGCCAAAGCTGACTCTGTCAGCAGGGAACAACTGTTACCTTCCGGGGGAGAAGAGAAAGAGCCAAATTCACAAAAAGCATGGTCAGCATCAGGAAAAGAAAACAAAACCAAAACACCTGTTTGCATGCTCTCTCCCTAGATCTGCTAAATTCAGCAGAACATTAAAACTGCATTCAAAACTCTAGAAAGAAACACACTTCAAGTGGTAATAAAACCCAGAGACAAAGCTCGGCTAGAGGCATATTTACCATATGGAGCTCTAAGAACCCCAGGAGCCAAGGAATGGTAACAACTGAATCCCACTCTAGAGTATTTGTGTATAAGAATTCTGTGCCCATTTTTACACTCCCATTTCAGCTTGGGAAACTGCGCTGTTCAGAAAATGGAATGAATTCAGCAACATCCTGCCCACAATGTGCATGTTACACCAGCAAAGATGTTCCCTTTGGGTGCCCATAAACTAGGAAAAATATATGTTAGTAAAGACAGGGTAACTAACAGATGCTAAATATGAATACATGGGGATGAGGCAGTTACAATTCTAACCACATATTAAGCAGGCTGAGGTAAACACTAAATCTGACCTGATGCCTTTTTTCCCAATGAAGACAAAGGGACAGATTTTTAAAGGTATTTAGGCCCCTAACAGTTATTGATTTCAATAATGCCTCTATGGGTGCTTGTACATGTGCTGGGGGGTTAAAATCCCACCACTTAAATTTAGGGGCTTCCATCACTGTTATGGAGAGGGGCCCAATCCTATTTTCTTCTTTTTTTTCGCAGGGCTGCCCGCATCTCCCATGGTCGGGGGGCAAGCTGCTGGCAGGCTGAGCGGCCCCTGAGCTGGGGGGGGTTGTCCCAATCCTTCCCTCTGCAGTGGTGGTGCCCCCTGGGCAGGTAGCTAGTGGGTAGGTGCTGCCTCAGCTCAGGCTCAGGAAACAGTTCGATCAGGATGGGTGCTGCCTCCAAGCTGGGGCAGCACCCGCCTGCTAGCCATCCACCCGGGCAGCCATGGCGGGTGCCACCACTATGAAGGGAAGGACCATGGTCACCTGCAGCTCAGGGGCTGCTGGCAGCTCCTCTCCACTCTCCGCCCCCCCA